TTTGGAGGGTGGGGCCAAAGAACCTTCAGTGGATGACTTCCTTTTGAGGGCTGCTGAAGTAAGTTGCGTGTACCTCTCTAGATGAGTGGGGTGTTTCTTCTGTGGAGAAAATGAATGCACAGGCACAGATTGAGATTCATATTATTTCTCTCAAACCACAAGCTCAGACTATCTAGGACTTTCGCTGTATTAATGTCATGCTTGAAGTTCATGAATGAAGGTCAGACTACAAGTTAGGGAGCAGTTTCACTGGTCTATGCAATTATGTTGAGCAGACCAGAATATTGCCACTTAAAGCTGTTTTAGGACCACAAGCAGCTGCTGGCATGACTGAAAAGTAGCATTAAATTCATTTTAAACAGCATTTGGCTGATAGTTGGTAGTTGGGCCTATTACCTCTTTACAAGGACCCATAGGGCCTGCCCCACACAGGCGCATGCACTCTCATACACAGACAGGATCATGACTATCCTTAGTACATGCTTTATCAACCAGCTGTAGACTATAGCTTTGCACAATTAACTTACAAATATTGCATATACAGTAGTAATAATATAAGCTCAGATAACATTTGGTTAAAGTCGAATTTCAAATCTCACACAGAGCCCACCAAACGAGTTTGCAATGTTGAATCATAGCCTACTGCTAGCAAGCAAACCATGGCATGTCTTGGCATGTACCTAGCCATAGCAAACATTGCAAATTTACCATTATTAGTACGTTACTAGGTCACTACAATATTGTCAATAATCAACTGATAATAACAAAAACTATAGCTTTGCACAATTAACTTACAAATATTGCATATAGCAATAATATAAGCTCAGATAACATTTGGCTAAAGTTGAATTTCAATTTTGTCAATAATCGACTGATAATAACAAAATTTCAGCTTACCTCAATATGCTTTTTCATATTAGACGGCGAGTTTTTGAAAGCCATTAGCTCGTGGTACTTGGGTGCGCAGAGCTTGCAGCACATTCGAAAGGAGTTGTTTTTGCATCCAACCATTTAAAAAAATTCTTCCAGGTATGGCCAGGGATGTACAGTATAAGGGTTGGCTGGACTTCCTGGCTACCAACCTCATTCGTTGCTTGGTTGGGACATTTCCCTCGAGTTCTCTTCTTGAGTCTCTGCCACGGACATCGTACTTGGCTACATACGTCTGCTATGTCCAGTGTTGGGGGTAACAGGTTACAAAGTTAGTATAGCCTACTTATCACAACATTGTCAATCGCAAACTCTAATTTATTCAAACGTCTCTCTACCGAAATACCTAGCTTAATTTGCGGAGGACGAAGAGAAAGCACCCGTTTGATAAATGAGCCAGTAGTGGAGAAATAATAATTTTTAAGAAATAATCTTTGAGTAACGACCCCAACACTGGCTATGTACTTGCTGGAGTGTGACGTGATTTTTGTGTCATGTGCAGGTGCGATGGATAGCGTACAAACCAATAGGGTGTCGGAATGGTATATGTTTATACTTCTCATCCAACCACAGTCAAATTCACTCTATCCGGATGGCACGATTTATCTGGATAGGTTTTTTTTTTTTTTTTTTTTGAATGATGACAAGCCGGTATATATATATATATATATAACATTTCTGTCCCCCTCACTTCTGAAATGATGGCTACGCCCCTGGGTTTAAGCAAAAAAAAAAATCTTTTGACTAAAAATTTTTCCTCGGCCAAACCCCATTCCTCAGCCATACCTGTCACACACCCAGTTTAAGAGCAGTGTATTTCTTATTGTAATCAAGAGCGCTTGTCCTTCTAATTTAAAAAAAATTAAGGAGCACCTTCTGATCAATAATCAAAAATTCTGATCAAAGATTAGCCTTCCTAATATGAGGTGAAGTTATTTACAGGGGCATTTTCTTTTTATCTTTGCAATGGCATCATTTTCATCTGTAAAATTAAAAAAGATATGTTTATAAGCTTTTTAAAATTTCTATTTAAAACAATATAATAAGAAGTAGAATAAGACAAATAAGTTACCAATCATGAAATTAGTATTAATGAAAAATGTATTTGTACTACAGAGGTGGCACAAAAAAGAACACAAAAGTGGCATTTTCAGACATTCAATGAGGCTCAGAGGTGGCATGAGTGCAATTAAATTCATACTGTATATTAATGTGGAGATTAATGTTAATGTTAATGTCATTTTACTTTTAGTTAAAATTTTAGTAATTTAGTAATTAGTATTTTTTTGTTTTTGTTTGTTTTAGTAATTTTTGTTGGTTTTTAGTTTTGATATAGTTATAGTTTTCAGTTTTAGTGATTTTAGTTCTTAAACATAAACTAAGTGAAAATGAGAAATGTTGTCTTAAGTTTTTTGTCTTTTATTTTATGTTATTTCAAGTATTAAAATATATATTTTTATAGTTGTAGTTTTAGTTAACAATAATAACCCTTATGCTTATTTACTGCTCAAGAAGCATTTCTTATTAATATCAATGTTGAAAATGGTGCTGTTTTATATTTTTTGGAAATGGTAATTCATTTAATTTTTCAGGATTCTTTGATGAATCGAAAGAGACAAGTGAATTATACAGTGAAATAGTCCAGTGTTATGTAGGATTTTAATACTCTTGTAACACCACATTTCCAGTGAAACAATTTGCCCTGAATTGCTATATACAGCATTTTTGCAGTTCTAGTAAATAATTTAAGTATTTCAGGCATGTAGATGATTTGTATATGATGACAAGGTCGTGGGTTTGATTCCCAGGAAACACAATACTGATTAAAATGTAAACCTTTAATGCACTGCAAGTCCCTTTGAATAAAAGCATCTGCCAGATGAATAAATGTAAAGCTGTAGAAAAAGATAAATTTCTCTGAAGGAAAAAAACAGAAAAACTTCTTTAAGTGAAGAAATCCTTCACATATGCTTGTGCTAAAGCTGCAATAGAGGGTCAGTTTTTTAAACGCTATTTGATATTAATTTAACATCCGCTCTGCTGAGCACTTCTGCTAACGATAATGACAAACCTCCATGAATAACAAATCAAGCTCTATTGTTTTTACAGAAACCCCAATAGAGACAAGCAGGCAGATGCATGCATGACCACACCATATGGAGACTAAGAGAATGAGGGTGTGTGTGTATGTGTGTGTACCATCTGCACTAGTTTTATCCTGTGTGAATGACTCCTTTAAGAAACGCTACGAAGCATGATTTCTGTAACTAAATCCTGCTTTTCTCACACTCTTCTGATCAGCTCACCTCACTGATCTTGGTAAATAGTGAGCTGATTTGCTCTCTACTCACTGTATAACACCTTCTTAAGCACCATAATAAATGACTGTCAGCCACACATGTAGTTAGATGTACCGTTCGTACAGCCATGAAAGGGAAAAATCACAAATTGGCAATTTTGGAAATTCAGAATTCTCCTTCAGGGAATCCTGAAGCATGTGTGAACTCAGTCCAATGGATGTAGAGACTAGGAAACTTAAATGCGCATTCGAAACAAACAGCGCTAGCTTCTGTGTCTTCAACAAGCGGTTCCCTTAGTAGACCTCTTGGCAGCGTGGAAACTTCTGCCAAATGTGTCTCAATAGGTCCTGCAGATGGTGTGTCCCGGGCAGGCTCTGGAAGTGGAACAGGAAGTAGTTACTCTTGTGAGCAAAGAGGCCACAGAACGTGTTCCCCCTCTCAAGTGGGTGTCCGGGTTCTACATCCGATACTTCATCGTTCCATGGAAGGATGGGGATTGCGTCTCATTCTAGGTCTGTGCCGACTGAATCATTGTCAAAACGAACTAATATCACGTAATTTATGTCTCTTTGATGATTGGTTGATATCAGATACCAACGGAGGCATGAGAGCTCAGCTCTCCCCTTGCCTCCCTCTCCCCTTCTCTATAATTTAGCGGTTGCAATTACATCAGCAGATTCGGCACATTCGCGAAAGAAAAGCGGTGCTTTCACGTTATGGTATTACAACTGTGAAATTACAAACAAAAAAATACACATTCTGAGACATGAACTGAAATTAATTGTGAATTTTATTAACATTAAATTGTCCACCTCCCATTTTCACCGTAAAATTATGGGGAAGCTGCGAGCCGCCACTGATAAAATATTAACTTTTAAAATGTTATATGCTACAATGTTATAAGCTAAATTGTGGGTAATAGTTGATGTGTGTTATTTTGCAGCCATGTGTGTGTTGCTGTATCTGTCCCAAAGAATGCCCTAGTTTCCACATTGATCTCCTAAATCATAGTGTATCGATTCACTTCTGCTGAATTTTTATAGACAAACAATTTAGAGCCTCATCTCTCTCGCTCTCTCTCTCATAAACAGCCTCCCACGGCGCACTTCTGCAAACACACTCACGCTGTGACACACACACACCACGGTTAAACTCTCTCTGACCGTGTAAGCAGTGTGGCTGAGCCTGACTAATTTAATTAGTCTCAGCCTGTAATTATTCACTTTAAAGAGAAATGAGGGTTATGATCTTGTCCATTAAAGACATGACAAGAAATTTAAGGAGCTCAGAGAATAACGTGTGTGAGTGCAACATTGTCTTTGCCGTAATCTGTTATTGTGGCATGGCATGCGTTCTCAGTGAATTTAATTGTGTGTGCAGGCCTCATTACAGCTTTGTTATGGGGAAATTCTCTCCGAATGCTTCATTTGCATTGGTATGGTTTTGGTGTTTAGTCAGCGTTTCAGAGCCAAACTGCAGTGGCAGCAAATGCGGTGCACAGAGACGGCAACACAACAATCTGCCCTTTAAACTGCCTGCAATTTATGCACAGGGGCAACACCACTTTATCTGGAGCTGGGGACCAGCTCCGTTTAACTGGCAGAAAAACACTCTCTTGTAGGTTTAAAGAGACCGAAGAGAGAAAAGAAAGAGGGCAAATAGAAGTAGGTTTCTGGCCAACTTCACTGAAAGATGCGGTTTGAGTACAATTAACTGAGTTTTGAATGCAATATGTGTGTTTGTAAGGATGATTTGAGCACATACGGTTTGTTCTGATCTTCATCCTAAAAAAAGAAAAGTCATAATTGTTCACATGGAGTCTGGTTTATTTATTTATACATACATACTTTTTAATTAAACATTGTATTCCTTTTTAACTAAATATATTAATTATTTACCTTCTTTTTTAAAGTAATATGCTGCTTTTCAGTT